GATTTACTTTGCTGTATTTCGAAAATTAATTTAATTAAAACAAATCTAAATTGACTGGAAGGATTTTTTCTTTCTTTTTTTTTTCTTTTTTTTTTTTGCTAAATAGCTGATTAGCGCCCTTTTTTTTAGTCGTCTTTCTCTTTATTAAAAAAAATCTTCCAAAAATAAAATATACTTTTCTGAAACTTTATTTGAGGAATATTAGCTGATTTAACGTATAATTAATCTATTTTGAAACAAGCATTATTTAATTTAAGTTTAAAATATCGTAGAAATGCATTTTAAACCGGACAGTAGTATTCGCGGGTTTAACAACTACATGACAGATTGATATTTATCTAAAGTTGCTCTACTGAGGCTTTAGGCGTTAAAAAATTAAATTAAATTAAAGTGAGCGCCTTTTATATATAATTTTATGTTCTCAGTAATCTTAAAAGGATTAAGAGAATATTCTCCGTAATCTAATGCTTTATCGAATTTTGAATATGAAGAGGCTGAAATTGAATATGAAAAGGCTGAAATTTTAATTTCTCAAAATTTCATAGAATTATGTAAGTGAGGTTAACAGATGTAAAAAGATATTTTTACCAAGATTTTCTAAAAAAAATTCCCAAAATAATTTCATTCATTTGTGAATAAATCCTGAAAATTTAATTAAAATTCGACAATTATTTGATTTTTACAAGAATTTTCAACGTCAAACAAACGGTAAAAATCCGTAAACTAATCATTGGCCCACTCGCTAAAGAAAGAAAAAGAAAAATTTTAACAAAATTTCGAACGTGCTAGAAAAGACTTAAAAAATAATAAAATAATCAAAAGATACTATGGCTTTTCCTCTTAATAATAACATAAACATTTATACGATAAAACTTTGCTTACATTATTCGAACTGTTATCCTCATCTTCATTACCATATTCACAACGTTTCGGCCGTTGTACGCTCCGGCCTTCTTCACGTGATTGGAATTTCAAACTAACCCTTTATTTCGTCCACTGGGGTAGGTAGATTGTTCTAGTTCCACGTGCCATGCCTCTTCCGGATGTCTCAGTTATTTCCCTTTAATTCAGCTCTCCAAGTTTTAGTTAACCACTGCTGTGGCCTGGTATTGAACTCACAACTCTTTGGGTCTAATCACTGGTTCTAACCAACGTGTTTATCCACTGGGCCATGTGTCCTTGAGGGTGTTTGTTAGATCCAGTGGCTATACCCAGAGTATTGTGAGTTCAATACCAGGCCACAGCAGTGGTTAACTAAACCTTGGAGAGTTGAATTAAAGGGAAATAACTGAGACATCCGGAAGAGGCATAGCACGTGAAACTAGAACAATCTACCCCGGTGGTCGAAATAAGGGGTTCGGTTCGAAATTCCAATCACCTGAAGAAGGCTGGAGCGTTGTAAATATGGCAATGAAGATGAGGATAACAGTCCGAATAATGCAAATAATGTAAAAGATATGGAGCGAGCGTGTGAGCAACGATGAGGTCTAGGAGCGGATACAAACAAGGAGGAGGCTTATACTTAACATAAGGAGGAGGCGGATGAAATTTCTCAGACACGTAATAAGAAAGGGGGATTGGAGAATCTGATACTCACAGGTCGAATAGAGGGAAAAAGAGACAAAGGAAAGCAACGCATAGCATTCCTGGTGGGCTTAAGCAAGTGGATGACAGAACGTGGTCTGGGGGAGTTGGCAGAGGTACGAAACTTATTGAGAGCTACAAGGGATGGGAAAAGTGGAGAGTCATGATCGTCTACGTCCTGAAAGGATACGGCACATAAAAAGAAAAAATCATAATATCTCATCTCAGAGATATAGACAGAGATAAAATTTTGTTTTTATCAAGTTCGGGACCTTTTTTCATCATGACATGCTCTTTTTTTTTAAACTGTTGGAGTTGTCTGCTTATTAGTCAACTCAGTTATGTGCCATGCGTGATACACGCTTAGGCGATCATGCATCTTTCGATACATGACTGACGAGGCAGAACTTTTCCTGCAGTAGGTTGCCATTTCTTTCTGTAGACCAGTTGCCATCCAAGGCTAAAGAACCTGATCTGTCCTGCTATTTATCCATAGTTGGGGAGGGGGAAAGAAGAGGATTCATTCCTTTCCCAAGGGTATTAGCACGTAAGTGAATGTAATGGATTCGACTGGAATTCGAACTCGGCTCTCCGATACTTCAATGCGAGCCGCTATCCATTACTCCACCTTATTAGTACATAACTAATATATTATACAAACTAAAACTATCAATTAACTTACTTGTACTGCCATTTCTTCTATCTTAATTCCCAGCAGTGGTTCGGACCGAGGGAAACCCGTACTGCTCGTCACTCAAGAGGTTGTTCTTATCTCGATACTTGACGAACTTATTGTTGAAAAAATGCTTACTCTTGATACTGGGGGGACTGATGCTTCTATATTGGGAGGTGAAAATACGCGTGACACTTCCCACAGGCTTGGGAAGGATTTCCCCTTCAAGCAGCGGTGAATAACTTTGATAGGATATGATTCAAATTTCTTAGATGAAGCATTGTCAGTTATTATTCATTTTGAACTAGTATTTCTTTCATCTTATTTCTCTTGCTTTTTATTCGAGGCTTATTCTTTATTTCTCATCTGCCCTGCTTACTTAAATATGCTTTATTACTAGTAGTATTAATAGGATTCAAATTTCTTAGATGAAGCATTGTCAATTATTATTCATTTTGGACTAGTATTTCTTTCATCTTATTTCTCTTGCTTTTTATTCGAGGATTATTCTTTATTTCTCATCTGCCCTGTTTACTTAAATATGCTTTATTACTAGTAGTATTAATAGGATTCAAATTTCTTAGATGAAGCATTGTCAATTATTATTCATTTTGGACTAGTATTTCTTTCATCTTATTTCTCTTGCTTTTTATTCGAGGCTTATTCTTTATTTCTCATCTGCCCTGTTTACTTAAATATGCTTTATTACTAGTAGTATTAATAGGATTCAAATTTCTTAGATGAAGCATTATCAATTATTATTCATTTTGGACTAGTATTTCTTTCATCTTATTTCTCTTGCTTTTTATTGAAGGCTTATTCTTTATTTCTCATCTACCCTGCTTACTTAAATATGCTTTATTACTAGTAGTATTAATAGGATTCAAATTTCTTAGATGAATCATTGTCAATTATTATTCATTTTGGACTAGTATTTCTTTCATCTTATTTCTCTTGCTTTTTATTCGAAGCTTATTCTTTATTTCTCATCTGCCCTGTTTACTTAAATATGCTTTATTACTAGTAGTATTAATAGGATTCAAATTTCTTAGATGAAGCATTGTCAATTATTATTCATTTTGAACTAGTATTTCTTTCATCTTATTTCTCTTGCTTTTTATTCGAGGCTTATTCTTTATTTCTCATCTGCCTTGCTTACTTAAATATGCTTTATTACTAGTAGTATTAATAGGATTATTCTTTATT